TATTTTAGTTATTTTAAAGTAAACATCTCTGCTGTGGTATCAAAGTGGCTGAAGTGACAATTCACATAATACCAGTATTTTTGCAACTAGAATGATTTGTTAAAGGATACTTGACTAAAGGAATACCTGGGTGAAAGGACTAACAGAGTTGGACATTGGAGGCTTGATCTGCTATGTCCTCATCCCCCCATCAGAGACAGGCAGATTGCCACCCCTGCTCCACCATCACCCGTTAGACTTCTGAAGCTGTGCATGTGGACAAATTACCATTAGCTGATATGAATAGCCCAGCCATTTCTTCACATAAAGCTAGCTTTTGTGCTTCCTTCTTTGGCTTGATCTTCAATAAATTTCAATAAAGTCCAATCAAAACAGCAGCCCTAATTTAATATAATCTCATCCTTGCTTTTTCAGGATGCAGTTTTAACAAGGCAGAACAAAAATTTAATCACCTTAACATTTTCAAGGATAAAAATTGACCTTTGTCAAGAAAGCTGTAAGCTTAGGGTGACCATCCAGCATAGCCTGCTTTTAGTTAGGCCACCACATGTGGTTACTTTCCATTTCTGGGTTTGTAAGGCCCACCATGTGGGCCTCCCCTCAGCTTTTCAGGTTTAGTATGTGGCCCCTTTTTCATCGACACAGCAGGAAGTACCTAGGAGTGGAAACCAAGAACCAGCTCTCTTAAACTAATTCTGGTCCAGTGACTCAAGAGTTGTGTGACATTGGACATGCTGCTTGATTTTGAGACTGTCCTTATCTGTAAATTGGGAACTGTTTACCCACCTTGCTTTACTGCCTAGGATTTTGAGATAAAACAACAAAGTTGTTTTTTTTTTTTAACAGTAAATCTTCAAAATATGTAAGACCTTTCTTTTATATTCCACCAACAATAACTCTTGGGGTGAAGTAACTTAGAGCGTAAGTAGAATTTGTCACTTTGTCAGACATAAAATGGTTAGCTCTAGATAGTTAGCTACCTTCAATTCAACTTTCAACCTCACAGGTTTAATCTGCTATTTGCTGGTGATGGTGGACACAGTAAGATCACTCAAATTCAAAACGATAGATAACATTTAGAAAGAAAAAATTGTTTTTAAAGATCATTTTTGGGGTGGTAGTTCATCATTTATTGGTTGACTTAACATAGATTTCTTTCAGCCATGAAAATTAGGTATTTTAATAGCTTGTAGGTAGAAAAAGACACGTTAATTCATATATCCTAAGTTCTGGTTGTTTGCTGTTCTTTACAAACATCTAGTGAATGCTTAACTTCGTTGCTTTGGTAGTTCTATTTCCTTTGCCTGAAATCCCCATTTGTTGCCATGTTTCCAGCTCCTACCCAGCTTTCAAGTCTAATTCAAATTCTACCTATTCTAAAAAAGCTTGACCTTATTAGTCCACAGTAATTTTCAGTGATTGGATCCCATAAATCTTTTCCCATAATTCTGCCTTACATATATTATTCTATTTCCCTTTTAGGTTGTAAGCAACAACTAACAGTATTGTATATGTCATAGATGGCAGTTAAATGCATGGGGATTTTTTTAAAGAAATCATGTTTTTTTAGGCAGATATTTTATGAGGATAAAGGAGGGGAAGGAATGGGTAAAAGAAGGAACAAAGTGATGGTGAATGGATCTTAAAGGCAGAAATTAGAAAGGAAATGAGGGAGAATAAAAGGAAAGGAATAAAAGTACAAAACAAGGATTTTTCTTTGGATTTACTAATCTATGCATGTTCTGTTTTAATTGTTGAGTGTCATTACCATTTATGTTTTTCTTTAGGGTATCTGCAGGAATCACTTGGGTTTATTAATATTGAATTAATATTAATAAATATTACTATTGAATTAATATTAATAAACAACAAATATTTATTGAATTATAAATTGGCTTAATATCAATAAATTAATAAATATTGAGTTGATATTGATAACATTAAAATATTAATGTTAGGGTTTGAAAGCTTGCTATAATCTTTTTTTGTTGTTCATTAAAACTTAAATACTTCTCAAGGATTTTCTACTTACTGTATAGTTATTGAAAACTGAGTTTTTAGCTTTTGAATTTTAATAGCTAAATATGTTATTATGAAGTGTTGTCAGAAAGCCATACTCAATTTGAGGAGGAAAAGGGGACAAGAAAGATGTTTGGAGTAATTTCTACCTGTGTGAAATTTGGGGAGAACCTGTATATTTGTTCACCAGATTGTTGAAGATAACTCCTTCTCAGATCAGAGTCTGAGCTTTTGAATGCTAAGATAGGTAGTATTTTATTTTTGTTAATTTTGACCATTTATTTTGTGAGAATAGTTTTAGAGATGGCTTAAATCTCTCTCTTGTGGATAAAAATTAGTCTCATCCAAAAACAAATAAATATTCATCTTTTTTGCTAGCCATGGCAATAATTCAATCACTTCAATTTTTCTTTTTTTTTTTTTGCACTATGTTCCATAAGCTAAAGAAGTCTATATGTATTTTATGTTATTTATATAGCTTTTAAGCAAAGCAAAAACTGTTTACTGGTGCAATAAATACATAGAAATGTTATCCTGCAGTTTTTTTAAAGTGATAAAGTACCACTGTCTGAAGTTTATTTGACAAACCATTTTCTGTTAATAATTGGTATGTTTGAATTTTTCACTGATTTTCTGGCTCAGTTTTTCTTTAAATAACTAACTTATTAGTATTGTTGAACACTTTAATGGTTTTAGATATGGGTAAGGCCAAGAAAAACTATATTATAACAGTAATAACAATTAATAACTACCTAGTAAATTTGAAACCTAGTATACTATAGTGATAAATGGCTTGGACTCTGGATTAACAGAAATCCGTCTCTGCCTCTATACAGTCTTGGGAAGTTTCATGTGTCTGACCCTCTGTTTCCTCATTTATGAAATGGGGATGGAGTTACACATTTTTTCAGCAAATAGTAAACCAGGAACCATACTGTATTTTGGGTAATAATAATACCTTATGTCAGAAGGTCATTGGAGGGATTACATTAGAATGCATGCTCTAAGAGTATTTAGAATGTAAGTTACTCATTAATTTTAGGTCTTATTTTTACAATATTTCAAATACATTTTTTTAATCCTCACTCGGGGCTATTTTCAGAGAGAAACAGACAGACACACAGACATCGATGTGAGAGAGAAACATGAATTGGCTGCCTCCCACACACACCCCAACTGGGGACCGAACCCACAGCCTTTTACCATATGGGACAACACTTCAACCAATTGAGCCATCAAGCCAGAGCCAGAAATACATTTTAAAAAGTTTTCTAGGAGCCAAAATTGTTTCAGGGAATAATTATATATCCAGGATATATCACTAAATTATGCTATGTGTGAAGTTTATTTAAAATCTTGGCCTGAAATTCATATATATTAAGGTTAACTTTAAAAACTGAAAGTTATAATAGCTTTGAACACACATAAATTATATTAATGTCAACATTAATATTTTAGGAGAAATTATATATTTGCATGTATAAATGTACATGCTCTGTGAACCAACTCTATTTTCTATTGTTTTTTTAAGATAGAAGATCACTAACAATAGGGAAGTAATTATATTAAGTAATTACTAAATACATGTGGTCAGTCTTAACTAAAGTATGGAACTATTAAATAATCTTTCGGTAATCTAGTACATATTTGGACACCTAGAAAAGCTTTTTTAACAGTATAAAAACACAATTTTAAAAAGACTTAGGCTGTGGAACAGTTTATTTTACAGGAGTAATTACAGAGTTTTCCTTTTAAAGTTGCCATTATACTAATGGCTAGTCCAGCATTGACTTAAGGTCTGACTGAATTTAAGAAAACAAGTATTCCCTCCTTCTTTTCTCTCATAATTTTCTCTCTTGCTACCTTGAAATACAGGTAAAGTCCTTTCCAGAATATTTTATACATACAGATATATATATGTGTGTGTGTGTGTATACACAGATGTATATATTTCTCCCCCATTTTAATAAAAATGGGTGGGGAACAGATTAATCTGTCTTAGATCTGTAGTCCTTATAACATGTCTGTAATGCTTATTAACAGTATTGGTGGACAGGATAATGAAATGTGTTAATTTCAGTTTCTTATCCCTCCAAAAGAAGACATTTAATATGTTTATTGTAGTTTGTTTACTTGAAAGATTTTCAATGTATAGGAAAAAGTTCCTTTCTTGTTTAAAAGTTTGGTTAATCATAGTATTTTACTAATTAGTTAGTTAAGATTTTAATGATAAAAATTTTTATTTTAACAGGCTTTCTGATTTGTGGCATTTGATCTGTATATGTAAACCTAGAACATTTAGAAATAGTAACTGTAGGTACCATCAGTTGAGTATTTACTCTCTGCCAGGCAGTGTTCTTAAGGTATTGAATGTGTAAGTCAGCTGTTCCTCACAATAACCCTGTGAGGTAGGTGCTATTATCTCCCTTTCTCAGATGAAGAAACTGAATCACAGGTCAATTTACACAAGGTGACTCAGTTTAAGTATTATAGCCAGGATTTAGAGAACTTGTATGCTAATCTTTACCGCCTAGTACTTAATTGCTGTCTCCCTCAGATTTTGCAGTCAGGTTAACTATTTGAATAATACGTAAATATAGTCATTTAAAAAAAAAGCGAAGTTTTGACTCTTACCTGAACTTTTGCTGAGCTCTGTAATTAATATCAGGTGATTGTATTAATCTGTGCAGGAAGGTACTGCTGTATCAGATGGCTAGGCATTAGCACAGCAACAAATGGTAATCAAGATTTTAAAACCTGGAATTTAAAAATACCTGTACTCATTAATGAATCATTATTTTCTTGTTTTTCAGTGCAGTTTCAGTAATACTGGTTTGATTTTGATAAATCTACGTAATATGTATACTTAATGAGATCAATTCAGTTATAATCTGGTTTAGTGAATATTTAATAATAAATGGAGGTAAATCTATTAGAATCTTCACATAAGGATTAATTTTGTCTTCTTTTCTCCCCTTTAGTAAAATAAAACAGGGTCTGTTACCTAGCTTGGAAGATTTGCTGTTCTATACAATTGCAGAAGGACAAGAGAAAATACCCGTTCATAAATTTATTACAGTAAGTTTCTGCATTTATCTGTCTTAAACTCTTTAAAGGTAGTACTGAATCAGTAATACAGATATATTGAAATGTAGTCTTAAAGGTCATTTGACATACAGATTCTGACTGACTATTTCTCTTACTGTGTTTTCAAATTTTTATTATGCTCATTTCAAGGTAATCAGTGAAAGAAAATGAAAGAAAGAATTGAGAAACTTGTCCAGAAAGTGGGTAATAGTGACACTAAAATGTCATATACATATTCAGGTCTTGGGTAGAAGTTTTTATGTACAGGAATAAAAACTTTTAGTTGGAATAAGCATAAACATTATTTGCACTATGTATTTACAAACTCTTATTTTTTTAAAAACAGGCACTCAAATCTACAGGATTGCGAACGTCTGATCCCAGGTTGAAAGAGTGTATGGATATGTTAAGATTAACTCTTCAAACAACATCAGATGGTGTCATGCTAGACAAAGATCTTTTTAAAAAGTAAAAATTTCTGACAAACATTTAATGGTGATTGCTATGCTATATGGTGGTTTTTATTTTAAAACAAAATTGCATCTTTTACGGCCAGTGTTTCCTGTGTAACTGAAACAAAAACTGGGTTTTATAAACATCAATTGTTTGAAGAACTTGGTGCACATTAAGGTTCTGTAATACATTGGGGTGATTGTATACTTTAAAACTGCTCTAAGGAAATGTAGCTATGGATATTTACAGTGTACAGTACTTAGAGATTGCATTCAGTTTAAATAGAGAATACTCTTTGTCCTGTAATGGCTGAAATTGAGCACCAGTTCATCTGAATGTCTTGCAGGCTTTCTCACCATGTTCTCAGTTTCTTTCTTTCAAGGTGATTTAGATGACATTATAAAAAAAGAGTTTCAGACAGCCTGTATTTCTTAGATTTACAATTCTTCATTGTTTGCTTCTCTCCTCTCTTTAGATGTATTAACAGATAGGCTTTTGACTATTTTAATTTTCTTCAAATATTTAAAAACTAAAGATAACTTTGGACATTAATGCCTTGATTTGGTTGATTGAGAATATTTATTTTTTATTTTCGTATTTGCATGTTTATTATTGTTTTCATTAATGTGTTCCTACTAGTCTGAATTAATGATTTAATGAACAGCATGTTTGTAATGGATCCCAAAGAGGTCAGTTGTATTTTAAACTACTAATAAAGTGAAAACTAGTATAAAATTGTAAATGCTAGTATAAGACATTGGCTTTTTTCAGACTGTAGGCTTAGGTTGAAATATCCAAAGAATTCCAGCATCAGCCTTGAAAATTTATTTGTATGTATATATGTAATTTTATTTATTTTTCTTTTATTTTCTTTGGGGGGGGGGGCTGGATGATATTTGTTTTAGATGTCTCCTGGGAATGTCCTGGAATTTTAAGTCATTTGAGGTATAAGTGCTTAACTGAGGTCCTTCAAATTTTCTTGGCATGCTCTGCAGCACTGCTGACAGAGCATGGGTTTATCTTTTCACCACAAGGGTTCTTAATTCTGTTAACTCAACTGACCTTGTAAAGTGTAGATTTTAGTTCCATGTTGGAATAAGCATTAGGAATTTTGAGTCTTCAGAACTGCTTTATTTGTATAGAGTAGGAAATAATTTCTAACTAACTGTACCTTTTTACAATAAAGATTATTTTATTTTTTAGTGTTTATGAGCTTTCTTTGCAAAGGACTTTTTGATAATGGTGCCTTCTGAGGTGTTATTTTGGCATATCTGATAGTGAATTGTCAGAGAGATGGTAGGTAGATCTATTGGTAATAGATATGAGGTCTTGCTTTGGAATTTAAAGTGAAAGCAGCATCTCACACTTTTATACACTTTTTTAGTACTGTTTAAATTTTTTGTGCTTTATAAACATGTTTCTATGTTTAAATCTGAAACTAAAAGTAATTTAAATATATGATTATGAATCCAGGAAATATAATCACAAAATTTTCTACCCATGATTATATAAAAAACAACCACGTTATTTTAAACACCAATCCAATCTTTTTTTAAAAAAAATTGATGACTGTAATATAGACAGTTCCCAACTTGACAAATGCTTTGTTGTGTATATAAGCAGATAGTGGAAAAGTCTAAGTCTGTAGACATAAGGATTGCTCTTTTCATCCCTAGAATGAGGTGATTTAAAACCTCTGAATATTAACCTTTTCAGGTTACCTGGAAAGGTGATTGCTGTAGAGAAGTTCTTCCTCTGTTTTCAAAATAATTTTTCTAGCTAGTGTTGCCAGAAATAAAACTATTTCACCTCCGTGTGGGCAGGAAGGAGATGTTATAGTGGAATTCATTTTCCCAGAGAAATAATTTATAAAGGTGGACAGATTTGAAGTCAATATATTGATATTTTACCTAAAATACATTGTTGGTTAATATTTGAGGATAATCTGAGAAAGCTATTATGTATGACTTTTTTTTTTTTAACGGGAAAATGAGTTCTGAGCATACTGTTTGGGGCATAATCTGTTTGAAAGTTGGAGACGGCTTGTACCCATCTAGATAGTCAATTGTTTTTAATGCCAATTTATCCTTAGAACTAATAGAAGTAGAAAATTTGTGTTGAAAATGAATACTATGTTTATTCATGCATTTTTAATCATATGAGTATTAGAACTATTTTTATGTGATCATAATTTTTTGGTCTAACCAAATGGAAGTCTTTACATTTGTATGTTTGATTTTGTTTAAAAATTCAGGGTTATTTTACTACTGAAAAATTATATGCAAGATATTTTGTAAAATATTGACATACATTACAGTTGTTAATCATAGACTAACATGGGAAAAAAATCTAAAGAAAACTCTAACATAGACTAATCAAGGGGAAAAAGTGATTATTCCTAGTTTGCAGATGAGAAGACTGACCAAAGCATGAGAAAGATGTGACTTACTGAAATGAATAAGCACTTCCTCCTCAGAGTTCATTTTGTATGACTTCTGACTTCCTAGATTCATGCTATCTAGATTCATATTAAAATAACTCCAAGAAAAAACATTTACTACCTGGAATGCTCATCATTACCCAATTAAACACTTTTCTTAGTTTTAAGATTACTTTTCTTGGCCACAGTAATTCACCAGTTAAGACTGTTACCACAGCTTTATCAGCACCTTCTGATTAAAAAAAAAAAAAAAAGCAAAACTCGACTTTCACTGACTACAGCTTTGTTAATTATAAAGCCTACTTTAAAAAGTGCTGATAATTTTAAATAGTTAAATAGTTAGTAGTAAGTTAATAATTTAAATTTGACTGGCAGCCTCATATTTTCTCATGTGTTATTTCTTAAATAAGGATGTATATTTGATTTGATACAGATACAGTGACTTAAGATCAGGAATTGTCTTAACTTTTTTTTGCTGAGAAGTATATTTTCAGTATATATTTCTTTAAACTCTCATGTACAAATTGAATTGCTATTTGAAATATATTAAATACTAAATGAATAACAAAACTTAATACTTTTTAGATTAACATTGTGAAGCTATCACAAAACAGTTTATCAAAGTTTATTGAAGTAAATACTTGGTATCTCTGGGGTGTCAGTTATGTCTACATGTATAGGTTAATGAAATTAGGACTATAATTTTTTATGTTTGTTGGGTCACATTCTTGTCACTGGAAACAACATATTTTATTTTAAATCATTTTTTAAATTTTATGTTGACTAAGTGAGTATATATTCTGAATTTTCATTAATAGTTAAAAAGTATGAAATCTGTCTTTTAAATTTAATTTGATGCTGTTTTATTATGTTTTATTAGAACAGCTGTAATTAAAGTATTGAGATACAAAACTTTCTCATTTACCATGGACTAAAAAAAGCAAATACTGCGTGTCTACTTCATTTCTCCATTTATAATTAGTGCAAGTTATTCAAGTTAGAGTTTTCTCATCTGTGAAGTGGGGAAATTATCCCTCTCAAAGTGTTTATGTTTTGAGGATTAAACAGGATGAATAATACTTGAAACTAAGTATAATTTTTCAGATGCCAATTTGGAGTGTTTTTCTTTTTCTTTCCCCCAAAGAAGCTGCTAATATAGTGTCATATCACTTATCTGTGAGAAATCTGTTACACAAATGACTTCCCATAGTTAATGCTTTGACTCTAATACTTCATCTATAAACATTTGGGGTTCTTTTTGTCTCTTAAAGGCTAGTCCTAAATTGGTATTATAGCCTGATGCTCATGTCTAGCAAGTTTTCCTTTAGCAATTAAATATTTTATTTCTGAGTTACTGAAACTTTAAAAAAGATGAACCTCAAGTATATGGTTGGCTGTAACCTTCTTTAAGGTTACATTAATATATTGATTTTCTGGCTTAAATCTTGTTGAGGACAAAGCAGAATATTAGTCCACATCCTTAGATTTCATCCCCTCCAATCACTTGATTTACCATCTTTTAAATAGTTTTAAACAATGAAACACTTTTATTCTACAATGTATTACATATCTTACAGTCAGTAAAATAATGTAATTAAACATTTTTGGTGATTCAAATAATATAAATTTGATTCTACGTTATATATCTCATGTAGAATTACTCATTATTTTTATAAGCATCTTAACAAGTATGTTATTTATGAGACAGATTAATGTCACTAAACATTGATTTTATATCCATTTTTTAGTTTAGAAATGCAAGTTTTTGAAATATAATTCAGGAAAACTATGTTAAAACACAAACTGTAGCTTTTTGTAAAACACTAGTAATAGTTTTATAGAAATAAGGGATATATGTCTGAGGTTACTTAATGTAAAAAAGAAATAGAATCCCAACTATGACATATTCAAGTCTGATTTTTGTTAACTATATGTCATACTGAGTACCTGTCAACTCTTATAGGCTAAGAAACTTGTTTTTAGATGGTCTTGATACTTAACCTGATGAAATGCTCTGTTGCTTTAATCTTTGATATAATTCTTAGGCAGTCTAATTTATTTCTTTAACTTGTTCAACAGATTACAAACAACTACATGAGAGCCTGTTTGAAGGAAATAAAAATAATGTAGAAAGAGTATAATTTATAGGATTTAATTTGTTATATAAAATCATGAATTTCTCTATTATTTAAATATTCTCCTGATTAACATTGTTATTTCCAAGTACTCATATTTGAAGGACATTCAGTCTTTTTATATATTTTTTTCACATTCTACAGATGTGTTCAAAGCAACATTGTTTTGTTGACACAAGCATTTAGAAGAAAGTTTGTCATTCCTGACTTTATGTCTTTTACCTCTCATATCGATGAGTTATATGAAAGTGCTAAAAAGCAGTCTGGCGGAAAGGTAACATTTTTAATGTGAATATTTTCCTAAACTAATCACTTAAATTTATCTCAACTTGAGGTATAGAGAGTGTGTAGTTTTCTTGTGTTTTGCTAATTAAGAAATTTAAGTTAAATGAGGCCATTGAATTAAAGTGCTTTTAAAATATTTTAAATATCAACTTGGTTCCTTTAGGTAAAAAGAAATCTAAGTTTACAAATTTCTTTTGATTTTCAAATGATTGAGATGGCCTTGAAATCTTTAATAAAATAGTAACTTTACTGGGAATTTCTGCAGATATGTTCTTGAACATTGAATGAAATGTTTTCAGTTTAAAAAATCCTCTAAGTGATAATAAAGGCTATTTTATTTCTTCTTCCTATTGAAAGATTTTAGATAGTGAAACCCCACCAATATGACCCTGATTAAAGAAATTCTCTATTTCTTTCCCTTATAAAAAAAATTTCAAGTCCCAGTTTTTCTTTTAGACTCTTTTCCTAGAAAGAGAGAATGCATTGGAAAACAGGTGATGATGGAGACTGATAAATCACTTAGATCTCACCTGTAATCTTCAAGTCTGTTGTGCCCTTAGTTTTTATGAATATTATTATAAAAGACTATAAAGCCACTGAGTGCTATAAAATAACTATTCATTGGTGGAAGCTAAAGTGAGATAAATTTTTGGTAAAAGAAAGTATTATTTTCTTGTATTATATCTGTTAATTTTCAGTATGTTTGTTAAGGTTGCAGATTATATTCCTCAGCTGGCCAAGTTTAGTCCTGATTTGTGGGGTGTATCTGTTTGCACAGTAGACGGACAGAGGTAAGTTTATTTCAAATCCATGAAAACCATCAGTCATTTGTAAAGTAAGAAGTCAGTTGCAAAACATGCAGGAGTTCATGAAGTCCATGAAAGCCATCTTCGGGAAGTGCTTACACTAACAAGCACAGCCACTGACAAATGAGGATCTAGCAGAATTATGAAAAGGATAATGAGGGTACTTCAAAGAGAAAGATTTGACTTTAAAAACCTTAAAAAATGATGAGGGTACTTAAAGAGAAAGATTTGAATTAAGGAGAGGTCCTTGGAAAAATGTATAAAATTCTAGAATATTTCTTTAAGAATGGTTTTTAATTATTCTGTGAATTAGATGTAAAGATTTAGTATTGTGTTGTAATTTGTTTTTTTTAGTCAAAAAAAAAGAAAATATTTTTTTACTCAAGGATTTAGCTCAGAGGTGTAATCTTTCTGTTTTTTTTTGTTTTGTTTTTCAATGAGATAATTTTTTAATTAAAATATAACATTTAAAATAAGATATACAACTTTTGAGTATATACAGATTGATGAATTTATAGCATAGATATAAATTTTGTTTAACCTACAGATCATTTATTTAGTCTTATAATTTAAGGTTTATTTTTCAAGACAATGTCCAAATAAAGCCTTCTCCTTCCCCCACACATTTTTAAGAAAATTTGTTAAATTTGATCTCTTAAATGCCTTTATTCTAATTGATCTTTTTGGTTTTTTTTTTCTCTAATTATCTCCCTTACATATTTATAGTTAAAAACACAAAAAGACACAGTTTACTCCATTCATTCTTGAGATAAGGAATCTGGGGCCCAGAGGTTGTATAATACTGGAAGAGGCTAAATTAACACCTTGTAGTGCATTTTCACTAAACGTTAATCTAATCCATGAACACCTAGTAATGATGATAGGCTTTTATCCTCTTCTGGGCTTGTAAAATATGCTAAGCATGCATTGTGTGTGTGTTGAATTAAATGTTGAATGCTATGAAAGGACACAAATACATGAGATGTGGCTTTATTTTAATGGAGCACATTCCAGTAGGCAGTGATATTCCTGTTTTTGTATTTGGAGGAAATGGTTTATCATGTAATGGGAAATTTTACATTTGGAGAGAATTATTATCATGTAATGCTTGCACATGGCTTTTAAACTTTTTTTGTGTATAGAGATAATTCTTTTTATTTTTCTTATCTAGAAAATTTAAAAAGTTGACTTTGAGCTAAGGATGTCTAACCTTTTGGTGTCTCTGGGCCACACTGGAAGAAGGGTTATCTTGTGTATTACATACACAAACACTGTTTTCAGTAAATTTATGATTTTGTGTTAGGCCGAATTCACAGCCATCCTGGGCTGCATGCAGCCTGTTGGGCTGCAGGTTGGACACCCTTGGGAGCATATGTATTTTTAAATCTAAAGGTAGTAGGAAGGCAGGCTTTCTTTCTTTTTCTTCTCTTTTTTTTTTTTTTTTAAATTCTCATCCAAGGACTTTTTTTTCCCTTCATTGCTTTTAGAGAGGAAAGGAGAGAGAAAAACATCGATTGGTTGCCTCCCATATGCACCCAAACCAGGGAGCAAACCTGCTACCTAGGCATGTGCCCTAACCTTTTGGCTAGGAGATGACGTTTCAACCAACTGAGCCACACTGGCCAGGGCAGGGATTCAGGCTTTTTGTCTGGTTTTAGAATGATTGTCAAGTTGAAGTTATAGTCTGAATTAGAAATTTTTTATAAAGATTATAGGGAAAATATACTTTTCCTATATATACATATGTATTTACCTTCCTAATAAGAAGTGAGGTTGTCCTCTGACACCTCTCTCTCTGTTAACCACTATTTCCCCAGGGGTAGTTATTAATAGTGCTTAGTTTCACTGTGAGTTTCATTCTGAATAAATGAGTGCCAGTAATGTGTGGGGTACTGTTGTGAGCATCTGGGATACTTCAGCCACACAAAGATCTCTCCCCTTGTGAGGCTTATGTTATAATGGGGTCAGTGAAGGTGTTCTTTTATTTTTAAACCTATGCTCTACTTCACGTGCATTCCAATTTGCTATCATGAAGCTTTTTGTTTTGTTCATCTGCATGGTGATAATGATTACTGTTAGTACCAGCTATAGTGGTTGCCAATTAATATAATGGGGCTGGAATTGTAAGTAGATATGGTTGACAAGATGATACATTTATAGATAGGGTCTCAGAGAATGATACTGAATCTAAATTGTGTTCTGTTTAAAAATTAACCATGGTTTAGCCATGGTTAAGGCTATCAGTAAAAAAAAAAGTGACTAATTTCTAAAAGGACCAGTTCATTTTATATGATTGAATACAGGTAGGAGTAAGGAGGGCCATACTCCCTCGCCCTGAGGAAATTTTTCACATTACTTAATTATTTAATTTGGAATTATTTTAGTACCTGAGTATTTTTAAGCTTTTGCCTTCATTTACTCTTAAAGTAAACATACTTATATTTATTTTTTAATATCTAAGTAAATCTGTGGTTAAATTATGGGGAAACCTTTGTAATTAGAATTAACATGTGAAAACAACTCTAGTGAGTGATTCAGTTACTTTTTTTTCCAGTTTATCTTAATTAATTTTTAATCTGCTTTTAAATAGGCATTCTATTGGAGATACCAAAGTTCCATTTTGTCTTCAGTCCTGTGTAAAACCTTTGAAATATGCCATTGCTGTTAATGATCTTGGAACAGAATATGTACATCGATATGTTGGGAAAGAGCCAAGTGGATTAAGATTCAACAAACTGTTTTTAAATGAAGATGGTAAGAATTACATAAAAGTTGGTCAGAAAAAGAAATACTTGCTTTCCTGTGTAAACCTACATAGTTATTTTTTGCATTTTTAAAGAAAATTAAAAGCATTCATACTTTTATTTTTCACGGGATTCTGTGAAACTTACAGAAATGGTTTAACCACCCACTTTTAGAAATGGTTATTTTAGGCATTCCGTACGTCTAGAAAGTGCGATAAGGAGAAGATGGGGTCAGGGAGTAGATTTTCACTTTATGATCACCTGTATGGGGCAGTATCTTATAGTAAAACCTCACAATGTCTGATATTTGCTTTAAGATAATTCAGTGGAGTGTTGCTAGAAGTGCTAGATGTGATTATTACTATATGTTGGTAATTTTTGAAGCTAAAGGATAGATACATGAGTGTTTATATGCTATTCTTTCTGCTTTTGTGTGTGGCATATATTTGAAAACTTCCATAACAAGTTTTTCATGGTCGCCCTGGTTGAGATAGTGGTTTGCTTTTTCTGTTTCATAACACTTAATATTTGAAAGAAACATCTTCCATTAAATGGTTGGACAGCTAATAAGTCTTATTACTTTATAGTGATCTATAAGAAAAGGGGAGGGCAAAGGTAGTTAGTACTTTTAATTTGATAGTTGGTGTTTTGAATCTACATGCCAACCTATGGATTTGTTTTTATTTTTTAATCTTTCAGGCATATGCTAGGTTCCTCATTTTGTGATAAGTTAAGATAGAATTGAAGAAAGCAAGAGTGAAGGAATTCAGTAGTTGCAGTAATGGTTTTAAGAAATATACTTTTGTATTTTTTCTTACTGCTGGATAAAAAATGAAATTGATTTACAGTCATTTGTTAGTGAAGTTGTAAGGTATTTTCTTACGTTTCTTTTCCTATTTATTTGAAAGCAATTATATTTTATTCTTTTATCTTAATATTTCTGTCCTGATGCTACTAATGCTACATTTGTCTTTATGAAGATTACCATAAAGTAGCAACTTCAGTAAGCATATTACATGCAGAAGTACTTTATTTTTTTAATTTACTGATATCAAGTTTTAATATGGAAAGAATAAATATTTTTGTTCTAACAAGATTAAACATTGTATAAGAAAAATTAGCATTTGCCTGCATAAGGTAAAATAGAATAATCTGGGTGGTTTTGGTGAATTGATTGATTTTGAGAATGATATTTTAAGAATAAAAATTAAGAAATGTAAGACTTTGAATATGAAGAAGTATTTTAGAAACAAATAAATTAGGCTTGGGGTAAATAAACTTAACCATTGTAATATATTTTTTACCATGGGCATTTATGATTTTAGAAATTATAATTTACTGACACGGTATCTATAAGAAAAAATCATGATAAGAACTCAAGGAACTTAGCACTGGTTTATAATATCTGAAATAAAAAATGTAACATGAGATTTTGGCTTTATTCTTTGGCCTTTTCAGTCCTGAGCCAGGAATTTTGAGGTAATTAAAAAATTGGAGGCCTCACTATACCATTCCTGAGTTCTGCTTAGGTTCTGTGCTCTAGAGTCTGGTTTTAGACATGCTCCAGCAAAAAAAAACAGTTTATAGGGTTTTTTTTTTCATATTTAAAATGTCAAGGGTAGATTTATCATGAAACTGTACACTTTGTGTATGTGCTTGTGTGCCTATGTATCTAGCACTATAAAATTTTTAAAAACATATATTGTCCTAGCTTTATAAAATTATAAGATTAATATCAATATAATGACTAGATAAATTATAGTAGCTACTCTTAATATCAGTAGTTTTAAAATACTTTATAGCATATAAAATTTTAATCCTGTGGCAGATAGTTGGCTGATATTTTTCTATTATAAATGAAGAAATAACTTACTTTGATGGAGGTGCAGTTTGGAAGCCACCAATCTCCTAAAGTCTTTTTCTACCTTGTAATGGAAATTAGGTTAACAGTTTTTATAACCTTCTTCCCTTGCATTGTTAACAGGTATGGAGGGTGTATATGGGCCTTGATTCTTGGAGTAACTTACCTTGCTAATACAATGATACATGGAAAAAGAGACAAACTCAAGTATTGCATACTGCTAAATTATAAGTGTGCAAATGACAGAAACCAAGATACATGTGTTATTTTATAAGTGTGGCAGGTTAGAAAATGAAGAGCTAAATTAATATACACGAGGATGATAGGACTGAATTTTATAGAAATAATGAAGTTTGGGTGGTTGTAAGTGGGCATTGCAGGATTAAACTAAATAGAGAATTGTATTTTAATTTTTATACGGTTGTATAAAATTCTAGTATAATACCAAAAACAAACATCCATATTAAACTGAACATTAATGCTTTTTAATATTTAGTATATGTTTAGCTTTGACATAGCCTGAATATGAACCACATCTTTTTAAAGTTCATATTCTTAGCAGTTTGAAAATATAACATGGAAGAACTTTGTGCATGTTACTGCCTTGGAGCAAGAATAAATGTGTAGCATTAGTTTTGTGTATTTTAGTTTAAAATATGCCCATAAAATTTAAATGTTGCCCATGTCCATTTTGTCATTATTCTAAGCTAATATTTGTCATTAAATAATAGCCTTTATTATTTAGATTAAGTGTTACTGCTGCTGTCAAAAAGATTTTTTTTAAGATTTTATTTATTTATTTTTAGAGAGGGAAGAGAGGGAGAAAGAGAGAGAGAGAGAAACATCAATGTGTGGTTGCTGGGGGCCGTGGCCTGCAACTCAGGCATATGCCCTGACTGGGAATCGAACCTGCGACACTTTGGTTCACAGCCTGTGCTCAATCCACTGAGCTGTGCCAGCCAGGTGTCACAAATATTTTTAATTAAAAATTCTAAATCAAACTCTTCATTTTTCCCTTCCTTATGGCAGAGCAGGAAAAAAGGTAGATTTTACAGTCATAAGTTCTAGTATGAGGTTTTATACTTCATTAAATGCTGGTGTTGTGTTATAATATCTCTCGTGTATTTCTAGGCATTCAGCTATCTGGCTTTTGAGCCAAAGGTAGAGTGAGCAGTCTCTTAGGTCTGAAATTGATCTGTCATGCCATGAAATGTTTTAGTGTTCTTTGAAAGATCTTGAATGTAGCTTCTGTAGTAATTACTGACTATTTATGATTTAGAAAATACTAAATGTCTACATTTATGTGATACCATTTGAAATATACATATTAGCTGCCTCCTAGGCCCATAGAGCAGTGATTTTCAACCTTTTCATCTTATGGCATATGTAAACTAATTAGTAAAATTCTGTGGCACAGCAAAAAATATATTTTTTGCTTATCTGACTAAAAAATAGGTATAATTTTGATTCATTTCTATTGGGCGGCTGTTGTTGTGTTGGCTGTTGTCATTTTTTTTTATTTGACAGTCTAAGGGGAAAAGAGATCAGTGCCCCTGACTAAATAGGCAGGTATCGCATGTTCTAAAAATTCTTGTGGCACACACATTGAAAATCACTGCACTAGAGTATAAACCTGATAATGTCAAAAAAAAAAAAAAAAAAGGAAAGGAAAGGACAGATACATGAATATCTACACAATAACAAGTATAAACTAATTTAGCATAGCTGGATTTCCATATCCTACTCTCTGTCTGCATGTGGTTTTTCTTTTCAGTGGGTAAAATTTTTTTTAGAAAATGTTTGTTTCTTGGCTTACTCTTGCCATGTACTATTTTTATGTGACAGTAATTGCTCTCATTGCATGTAATCCCAGAGAAAGCAAACTTTTCTTAGTATAATTTGGAATGGGAGAAATCTTGATTGCAACACTCAGATATTATACTAAGTTTTATTTTAACTTTGGTAACTAGTTATTATAATGGGTAACCCAAAATGTACAGGGTTCAAAGCATAGCTATTGAGGGAAACTGTTAGACTGTCAGTTACCCAATTTTTTTGTCTTGATTGATTTTTTTATTAAAGATTTTTTTGTTTTATTTTTTTAGAGAGAGGGTAGGGGAGGGAAAAAGAGAAAGAGAGAAACATCAGTGTGTGGTTGCTTCTTGTGTGCCCCCCACTGGGGACCTGGCCTGCAATCCAGGCAAGTGCTCTGACTGGGAATCAAACCGGCATCCCTTTGGTTTGCTGCCTGGCACTCAATCTGCTATGCCACACCATCCAGGACTGATTTTTTTAAAAGATTTTATTTATTTATTTTTAGAGAAGGAAGGGAGGGAGATAGAGAGAGAGAGAAACATCAGTGTGTGGTTGCTGGGGGTCATGGCCTGCAACTCAGGCATGTACCCTGACTGGGAATCGAACCTGCAACACTTTGGTTTACAGCCCGCACTCAATCCACTGAGCTAGGCCAGCCAGGGCTTGATTTTTTTTTTTTTTAATTAAAAATTTTAACAGCTTTTTTGAGATACATATTTTGGGATAGTCCCATAGCATATAATTTAACCATTTAAAGTGTTAAATTCAGTAGCTTTTATTATATTCATAGAGTTGGGCAACCATCACCACAATCAATTTTGGGACATTTTTATTACCCCCAAAAGATACCCTGCACCAATCAGCAGTCAGTACCCATTTCTCTTCTACTCCTAGCAACTAATAATCTAGTTTTTGTCTCTATAGATTTACCTATTCTAGACATCTTGTATAAATGGAATCATATAATTTGTCTTTTATGGCCAGTCTGTTTCACTTAGCATGTTTTTAAGGTGCTTTCAAATTATAGCATGTATCAGTCCTTCATTTTTTTCCATTGTTGATGAGTATTCCATTGTATGGATAATAGTACATTTTGTTTATCCATTTTATCAGCATGTTTGGATTTTTCACTTTTTGGCTATTACCAATAATGCTCTTGTGAACATTTGTGTACAAGTGTTTGTGTGCCTATATATTTTTATTTCTCTTAATTATATACCTGGCAGAGGAATTGGTGGGTCATATGGTAACTATTTAACAGTTGGAAAATCTGCCAGGCTGTTTTCCAGAGCTCAGAGTTGTTTAGCCATAAGCTCATATCTCATAAGGTTACTTGCTTAAAACTCAAAGAGAAGACTAATGTAGCAATAACTTAAGTCTTCTGGATTTGTCAAGTTAGGTAAGACTTTCTTTTCCCCCAAAGAAATTAATCACTACCACAAACAGATAAATTAGGAATTAAGTTCAAATAAATTTTTTTGGTACCCTCAGTTTTTTTGTTTAGCATTTGTGCCATATCATGAGTAAAAATGTAATCAATTGAGCCAAAAAGTCCATATGGTTTTTTCCATAAAATAAAAAACACATTTTTTTCATTTTCACCAATAACTTTATTGGATTGGATATTTTGAGTATGTAGGCTGTCTTCAGCCATGGTAGAACTTTGTTCTCAATTATTATCTCGATTTGATCACTATCAACTTCAAGAAGTCTTTGTTTTAAAGTCTGTTTTGTGTAGTGAAAGTATTGCTATGCTATTCAGGCTTTTTTTCCTTTCATTTCCTTTCTCACAAAATAATCTTTTTTCACCCTTTCAGTCAGTGTGAGTCCTTTGACTGAAATGAGTCTCTTGTAGATAGTATCTATAAGGGTCTTGTTTTGTTATCCTTTTAGCCACCCTGTTTTTTCATTGGAGTATTTAATTCATTTGCATTTAAAATAATTGTTAATAGATATATATTTATTGCCATTTTATTATTCATATTTTTTTCTTTTTAAAGAAGACCCTTTACCATTTCTTGTAATGCTCATTTGGTGGTGATGAACACCTTTACTTTTTATCTGGGAAGCTTTTTATGTGTTTTTAGATTTTAAATGATAGCTTTGATGGGTAAAGTAATCTTTGTTGTAGGTCCTTTATTTCATCACTTTGAATATTTTTTATTTTATTTTATTTTATTTATTTTTTTATTTTACATTTTATTTATTTATTTTAGAGATGGGAAGGGAGGGAGAAAGAGAGAGAGAAAGAAACATCAATGTGTGGTTGCCTCTCATGTGGCCCCCACTGGGGACCTGGCCCTCAACCCAGGCATGTGCCCTGACTGGGAATTGAACCTGCGATGCTTTGGTTTGAAGCCGTGCTCAATCCACTGAGCTACGACAGTCAGAACCCCGCTTTGAATATTTCTTTCCACTCACTTTTGGCCTTCAAAGTTTCTGTTGAGAAATCAGCTGACAGGCTTATAGAGGCTCACTTGTAGGTAACTGTCTTTCTCTTGGTGCTTTTAAGATTCTCTCTTTGTCTTTAACCTTTGCATTTTAATTAAGATGTGCCTTGTTGGAGGTCAGTTTGGGTTCATCATCACCAGGTTAGGAAAGTTTTCAGTCATTATTACTTCAAATAGGTTCTCAATCTCTTGCTGTGTCTCTTCTTCTGGTACTCTTCACACTTGTTACAGTTACTACATTTCATGTTGTCCTAAGGGTCCCTTAAACTATCCTTATTTAATTTTTTTTTCTTTTTGCTGCTCTTACTTGGTGTGTTCTCCTATCTTCTCTTCCAAATCTCTGATTTGATCCTCTGATTCATCTAATCTGTTGATTCCTTCTAGTATATTCTTCATTTCAGTTATTATAGTCATTTCTTACTGCTTTTCTGTGGTTTCTGTGTACTTTTTTAATGCTGTTGAAGTTCTCATCAAGTTCCTTGGGCATTCTTAAAGCTATTGTTTTGAACTCTGTACCTGGTTGTTTCTTTGCCTTCATTTCATTCAGTTCTTTTTTCAAAGATTTCTCCTATTGTTTCATTTGGAGCATATTTTATATCTCTCAGTCTTGCTAGGGTGTCTTTATGTGGTAGGTGTCCTGTAGGGCCCAGTAGCTCATCTTCCCTGGCCACTCAAGCCAGGCAATCCAGACTCACCCCCCTCCCCCACCTTAATGTGGGCTGTGTGCACCCTCCTGTTGTAATTGAGTCTTGATTGCAGTTGGCATGTCAATGGGAAGGATTGACCCCCAGGCCAATTGGCTAAGGGGATGACCAGTTATAGTGAACTTGCTGCTGTGCAGGAGCCAGCCCCACAGAGCAGAACTTGCTTCATTTGGGTCTCCTGGCACTGGCCTGGTCTACTCCTTGAGTGTGTTGCTCGTGGAGGTGGTTGGGTGGTTCTCTGGCATGGTCTGATGCTGGCTACTGGGTGTTCTAGCTTTGAGGCCTCATGGGATGAGGCCTCTAGCTTTGCCTTGCCTTGCCTCATGCCTATGCCTTGCCTGGGGCCATCTGTCACGAGCTACAAAGTGATGGGCTACCACTTGTGCTGCACTTGGAGGTGTCCGTGAGTAGCCAAGCAGCGAATGTACCACTAGTTGTGCACCTGGGCTACTTAGTTAGAGGTATGTGGCATGCTGAAGCCAGATGCTGCTTCTTTGGGGTTTGTGAACCTTTGAGAGAATTCAGGAAAATCCACAATATGAGTCAAGAGAGGCCATTTGTATGGAAAAGCAGTAGCGACCTGGAATTGACTTGGGTGGGCCTGCAAGTTGGGTGGGACTGAGTCTCAGGGAATCACCAACATGGGGTTGAATGGTGATAATCAGGTTGACTGAGACTCGGACATGGTGCCTGCCAGTACCTGTAGTGGAGGGCTCAGCAAAGGAATAGTGGCTTCTTCCAGCACTGTTGTTGGTGAGAAAGGTGCCCTTCTAGCCCTTGCCCCAAAGCCAGACAATTCAGTTCTTCCCTGTATTGAGCTGCTGCCTTTTGAGCTGCTGCCCCAGTGCTGGAGCTCCAAGTGAGTGAGTCTAAGTAAGCCCGAGTGCAGGTTCTTTAAGAAGAATTGCCTGGCATTCCAGCAGCCCTCCATTTTAGCTATAATCTCCACTGGTTTCACAGCCAGAAGTTATACGGATTTCTCTTCCTGGGGCTGGGACCCTTCGATTTTTGGAGTCACCTCTGAAGCTGAAATAGCCCTCCTGATTTTTAACCTCTACACCTGGGTGTGGGGACCAGCCAGTTCAAGTCTCCACCCCTCCTAGCAGTCTTGATTTGGCTTCTTGAACTGTGTACCCTGAGTTACAGGACTTCTCTTCAGCTAGATTTCAGGCGGTTCTCAGTAATGGTTGTGCTGTAGTTCAGTTTTAATTTTGATTTGATCATTGGAGGATGCCAGTACTGTTTACCTACTCTGCCATCTTGACTGAATCCTCTATTTAAGGATTATGACTGACTTGAGGTGTTGGTGCTATTATTACTCCTAGTTTACAGATGGGAAAATTGAGGCTTGGTGAAGATTAATTATTTGTCCATGGTCAAATAGCTAAAAAGAAAGCAGAATTAGAAAATTTGGATATGCTCTTACACTACTAATTACTGCCTTTCTGTACACGAATCTTCGTTTGCCTGTATAATTATTATAGCAGCTTCCTGGAGGTGTATTACTGGTTTGATATGCAAGTGAGTTTAAATGTTTTCTTCCACACTCCTTCCCACACTCCCAAAGGAACTGTAACAATGGCTTACATAAAGAAATAAATATATCTTCATGGAAAGAACCTATGTGTCACAGAAAATGCTATCAGGTATTTGAAATAATGCTATTGCTTTTATATGTTACAGATAAGCCACATAATCCTATGGTAAATGCTGGAGCAATTGTTGTGACTTCATTAATAAAGGTAAAATGTTGACATTTCTCTTTAACCTAGTAAATTTTTTAATAACTAAGGCATAAAGGTGGATTTTGAATTATGTAGAACTATAAAAAGTTTTCTTTTGGTGTTAAAAAAATTAATCTTATGGTATAAGATTAAGATTTATTTATATAAAAATAAATGATGTAATTTTAAGGGCAAAATTAAAAACAGATGACTCATTGTAAATTTCAACAGTTAACTCTTGGCCTGAAGATCTGGTAAAAATTCAAAAAGAAGTCTCTACTAAACAATAGGCACAGACGTTTTTCTTTTTAAAGTTCTGATTTTTGTTTCTCTTCCTTTTGGCTCTCTTAGAATAAATGTAAACAGAGTTAAAAACATTTACTGTTTAATGTTTGTCATCAACATATATAGGAACAAGTTCTGGTACTTTGTGTTAAGACAAAGTACATTTACCCTTGAATATTTCAAGCCTTTTTTTATATTTTCATAAACTTTAATTATAATTTTCACTTGAATTTGTTTTATTTGTTTTACTTCAGTCATATAATAACTAAAATAAGAAGGACTTACTCCAATTATTAAGTTATATTATTTTTCTTATGCTTTGGTTTGCATTGTATGTTTTGGATTTTTTTTAAGTACCTGGTTTGCCTTAATAATTGGAAGCTCTAATGTTTGAAATAAGTATTTGAAAATGGTTTTGTTGTATGGTGCTATTTAGGTTTTAATTTCTAATTATTAATTTTAGTTATATTCAAGTAAATTTTATTTGCATTTGGAACATTTATTTACTTTCCTTAGTAAACCCGTGCCTGTTTATTCCAAGCTTGGGAAAAAAATCCATGGCTTTGTAGATGCATTACTGAGAATGGGATATCCTGATTAGACAAAGAATGTTTGAATATAAATTATGCCCTTGGCCCAATTAATAAAAATTCATTTGCTTTAAATACTATAAATCTGCTGCTAATTTTCATGAAATTTGTATGTTCATAAGAAACTGCCTTTAAAGTAGAAGACTGCTATCTTAAGAATATATATGTCTAGCTGTTATTTTAGGGAAAATGCTTCAAAGCTATTGGCCCATTTAATCCTTGTAACTCTGATGAGGTAGATATTATATTATAGCCAAATATTATTTTTTAATGTAACTGATTTTAATAAGCTATAGAAATTTTCATTTTTTCCATTATACTATCTAGTTTTTATGACTGTTACATAAAAGTCATCATTTGAGGTGAAAATAAACTAATTGTTTATGGTAGAAAATTGGAATATGAGTATGTGCTAGGCACAGTCCTGCCTTCAAGTGGCTTACATGATAGTATGGAGTATATACCAAGTAAACGGGCCCTTACAATGAAATGCAATAAATACTGCAATAAAAAATTTTTTATTAATAATTGTTAGATTTGAACAAGTAACTTAAAATAGAGATAAGCAAAGCTATACTAATACAATGTATGTGTTAATAATGCTTGATGAGAAAACAGCAAGAATGTTTCTGAACCATTTTTAGATTTTCCCAGAAAAAAATGTTCACATACCATGATTTTATATAAATTTTTGGGATTTCCCAAACCCTTTGAAGTCAATCCATGGATACTAGTTTAAGAACTCTTACACTGGAGAAAGATTTACATGGCACAATAGTATTTTCAAGAAAGGGCATATGTAAATGATTAATAGAAGCCTTCTTCAACTGCATGCAGTTAAAATCATCTTCTGTTTAATGATTTATGGGTGTAATATACCACACTGAAATACTGCATGTGGGAAATGCATGTCTGGTCATATCATACTGTCACTTCATTGGTTTTACTTACCATCTTCATTCACAGTCTATAACTGTACATTGAGCCATATTAATGTGAGCACTTAGAAACTTCAAAAAAAACACATACACAAATGTGGTTCAGTATCCAACAGTGCAAAAATTTAACTGAGTCATCTTTGTATTTATAAATTTGATCAGTGATTTTAAATTTACTGGAAATGAGTCTTTGGGGTATGGTTCATATTTAATGTCACTTTCTTTGCATTTTTATTTTGATTTGTTTTTAGAAGGTGTTTCATAGGGTTTCTGTGTATGTGTGTGTGTTTTTATCTAAATCTTAGAGGGGTAAGCCTGATATATACCTCTGTAGAACTGACTGCCCCAGTGTATCAATACAATACTGTTCTTACACATTTAAAAAAGAATTCACAACTTTTATAATTAATTGTATGTGATATTTAGAAGTTATTCGATCATATCATATTTATGAATTGGTACTTTAAATTGAGGTAATCTGCAGCTGAAAGGGTCTTCAAGCCCAGCCCTCTCACTTTATATAGATGCAGTGAGGAAACTAAGACTGAATAGGTTCTAACTGCAACAGAATTGGGCTTGAGGTAAATCACCTGATTTTTCTGTTTGCTGTTTCTCTTAATTACATCTTTAACTTTACCTGGCATGGTTATATTGTCCAAGAAGCAGAAATTTTATTTTCTGAAAATTAATGTATACAAACATACAAATTTATTGACATAAAAGTCACATCTAATTTTTGGTGGTGCATATAGACATTCTTGAGACTTAGTCAGTACTTAGTATCCATAAGACCCAAGCCTTTTCTCGAGGAGCTTGCATTGAGTACCCAGAGTTTTGGTATTTTACCATGGCTACTGGATATGAATTCTTTTTTTTAGCTCTTTTAGTTAATGATCTTAAAGCTATATTTTTCTTTCAAAATTCAAGATTTTATTATGGTGCTATTAAAATATTCTCTCCATGTTACTTCCCCTCCCACACACAAAAAAATTAAGTAGAGTCTTTAGTAAGACTCTTTATATTATAATTTTGTAGTATTGATATTTTCTCCTTGTAGGATTGGTGGTGATCCTCAGGAAATGGGGGAAGAGGCAGAGCAAATGTTCAAAAGGATTAGCAGATTGTGGAAAAAAGGAGGATTTGGACAGAAGGAACCTGTTGCATAAATTCTTAACTACTAATCTTATAGGAAACCACCAATATTTAAAAATTTAAACAAAGCTACATAGGTAAATACATTAATAAAAGAAATGTCATTTTGTACATAAAATGCACATAATTTAAAAAAAATGAAGGTACTATACTTTTTTTCTATGGTAGCTACTAAATTTAAGGGAATACTTTTCAATGCAGTTTGTTTTATTTGATGATGATAATGTGGTTGTTTGATTTAAAGGAAAGAGGAAAAGTAAATTTGAAAGGAGCACAGTTATTCTGGATAAAATAGCAGTATCCTTGTGTAATTTTTTTCTTTCTAATAGTAAAAATTCCACTAGTTTAAGTTTAAAAGTTAGGTCTGGTGATAACTCAAGCGTTAGGATATGAAAATGAGGACAACATATTACAAGATTGTTGCCATACTTCTGCTATTTTATTTTATTTTATTTTTAAGATTTTATTTTATTTTTTATAGACAGAGGGGAAGGGAGGAGAGAAACATCCATGTATGGTTGCCTCTCACACAACCCCTACTGGAGATCCTATACTAGGCATGTGCCCTGACTGGGAATCAAACCAGCTACTCTTTGGTTCACAGGCCTGTGCTCAATCCATGGAGCCACACCAACCAGGGGTTTTGCTTTTTTATTTTAAAAGTAAAAAAGTTACATTGTCCTCATTTATGTGTATCTATTCTAGTGGTAGTTTCCAGTTTTTGTCACTTGAAGAAGTTCAGTTTTTTAAAATCAAAAGTATTTTTTAATTTAAAAAAGTCATAGTTTTTTCCTTCTGTCTCTTAAAACAGTTTAATCATGCTCCATGAAAATCAAGACAAATTTAATATGTATGTAATGCTCAGTTTGGTTATGTTAGCAATAACCTGTTGGACTTGCTTGTAAGCCACATTTTTAGGGTAGTTTGTGGCTCTGGGGAGCAATGGATGATGCCTTGGACTTGCTGGTATTCCTAAGAAAGGATTACATTGGTTTATTCACTTCATGTTTGTATCAGTTGGTGTATTTGAGGTTTCTTTTAAATGAAATTAGATAATTTCTTGGCAACAGAATTTACTTTTCTGTTGCTTTATTTTTTGGCTAATCACCTGTAATATTTATTGTAATCCTCCAGGTATTTACTTTCAGTTTTAAAGCATTTTGTATGTCAAGATTAAACTGAGAGTATTTTATAAAATTTTCAGTTCTTTTTGCCTCTTACGCTTCTTTTCTCTACCATCTCTAATTGTCAATTGGCTTTTACATCTCCATACTATATGAATGGAGTTGTGATTTGCATACAAAAACTGATTAATATGGTGACTTTAAGTTTTTTTATATTAAATTTATCCCTGTTAACTGTGATATTTTCACCTGTTAAAATGTGTAATACATGGTTCAATTTATGAGTGTGTTGTAAAAGCAGGTATAAAGATATTTTGTCTTTTATTTTTTAAAAGTTTTTCTGCTATTTCTACTGTAACTTTTTCAAGATAAAAATAACCCTATATATAGATATTAATGCTGCACAGTGATTTAAAGCTGGGATAAACATATATCCAGAGGTGTAGAATTTTTTTTTCCAGGAGAAAAAGTGGCATTAATAGTTTTAGACTATCAGTTTCCAAATCTCAGTTTTCATATATGCATTTTTTTTAAAAAGTTAACCTGCCTTTGGTCCAGACTTCCTCCCATTTTCCAGAAAAAAGCTATACTTCTCACATGTCCCAAATTTTACTGTAGTACACTGTTTTGGGTGCTAAAAACATCTTGGGTACCATCAAAAGAGAACATTTTGAAATAGTGGAGTCAGTGATATTGAGGGTGTGAGTCACTGTAATGACTGGGAACAGGTCCTCTTGTATACCAGGTTGTTTCTAGTTCTCTGGTTTCAGCAAAATGGAAAGAGGATTTAATCAAGTTGCTACTTTTAGTGGCAGCCTTAAGCATAGTTTTTGAGGATTACTGTGACTTTTGTATGAGGTAGATGTGGAAAATACTGAGTGACTGTTGATAAGACCTTTTCTATTTCCATCTATTCATCAACTGTCAGCAGTGTTTCTCAACTTTTACATCTGTAAAAATTTAATGTAGTGAGAGAACTATACTCATTCTAGTGATAGAAAATACCTCTTGATACATGAACTAATTAAAAATCAATTACTGTTTTAAGAAGGAAAAAAATATTCTTAAGGAACAATTTTGTAAATTAGCCTGAGAAATCATTAGCAAGTAAACTTTTTTACTTTAATGTTTCATGAAAATTTTCAAATGTACACAAAATAGAGTAGTATAACCAGCCCCCATGTACCTAATCCCATCTTTAATTTTGACATTTGTTTCTTTCTTTTTTTGTTTTAAAAGATTTTATTTATTTATTTTTAGAGAGGGAAGGGAGGGAGAGAGAGAGAGAAACATCAATGTGCGGTTGCTGGGGGTCATGGCCTGCAACCCAGGTATGTACCCTGAGTGGGAATCGAATCTGCGACACTTTGGTTCGCAGCCCGCGCTCAATCCACTGAGCTACGCCAGCCAGGGCTGACATTTGTTTCTTCACACTGCTGCAACTTGCTACTTGATAATTATGATGGATTTTTTTTTTAACGTTTCATATTTTTGCTTTTTTTTTGTTTGGAGGGTATTTATTCTAGTTTATTTTGTATGTGTATTTTTTCTCTAATATCTTTGCAAATAAACTTTATACAGTAACTTTTTCAAAATTAAAATAACATGACTTATTATAATGATTGTTAGATTCCATGTATCCCTGAGGTACATGAAATCTTTCCAAGAAATACCGGAGCATATATATTTATAGACTTAAGTTAAATGCTATTTCCAGGATAGGTAATAAGAACAACAAACATTAATCAAGTGCTTTTACATTTAAATGGGGAAGTTTTGGAGAGACTTGAGTCAACATAATCATTCAAATAATTTTGTTTTGCCTAGAACATTTCAAGTAGCTTACCCAAATTTGTATGATAGGCATTGGTAAATATCAATGGTTTCTTTAAAAATAGCATAGAAGCAAAAGCAAAACTTACTCATACTGGAATTTAGTAAGCTACAAAAAACATGAATGTGACCATAGTCTAGAATTGAAACAGTTTTTTTGTTTTTTATCAAACTCGACAGCTAAATAGAGAAAGCTTGTATTAATTTTAGGGCACAGTTTAGGTCAGAGAATGAAAGTTCAGTATAACTTGTTTTACATTGATTAATTGTATAACCAGTAATTATTCATGTGACCTCACAATGCAAATGCTGACATCCTTTTCCAAAAGAGTTGTTTTTTTTTTCTTTTGTGCTTTTTCAAAGGTTGAAAAGGTTTTTGTGGTTTAAATGTTGTTACATATTTTACAGCATTAGGATCTATGGAATATTTTGACAACTGCAACAGTTCAATGAAGTTGGTAATTTCTTCTTTTAATTATTTTTCATTGAACAGCTTTGGAGTTACATTTCTACATTTTTATTTCTGGTGTATTATAAGGAAAGAAAACATAAAATATGTCCAAGGATGCTTTAGAGAAAATATATAATGATTACAATATGGCTGTAGCTAAATTGTCCTTACTTTGTTTAAGCTTTGTTAATACCTAATTTTGATGAAACAGTGTGGTATTCTTTCCAGCAACTGATTGTGTGATTGCACATCCTTTCCTTAAATAAGTTGATTTGTAAGGTTTCACAGATTATCAGCCACATTCTAATTCACTTACAAAGTGGAGAATGAACCTGGCTTTATTCAGTCAAATAATATTCTGATAGAGGTTTTGCCTCATAATAAAATTTTAAATGTAATGTTTTTGATTTTTTTGAGGGTAAAGTTGAAATTTTTCATTTTTAAAACTATAATTTTGAATTTTATTTTAAACCTGTTTTAAAAATTAGAGATGTATTGTTTCTCTTGGGTGCATATCACCAATTAATACGTTTGATTTCAGATCTACACCTTACTGCTTTGTAAACTTCACTGAGGTAAAATGAAACCATTTGGCTACTTGAACTGATCTACATTACATAGGTTTTGCCTACTGACATTTGCAGTAGCTAACATGTCAGAAATAGAAGTGATGAAACAATACATCTTCCATGTTCTGAATTGGAATAATGCTAAATACAAATGTAGCTATTTTTAGAGACTATGAAATGTAGGGTTTTTTTTTTTTAGTTTAAGTTGTGTTATATAACAAGTGATATATTAAAACTAGAGCTTTCTCTATACTAGAGAAATCTATCCAAGAATATTTGCATATACTAGAATTATAAAAAATTAATTTTGTAACATAACTCATTTTTCTAACTCTAATATTGGTTTAAGGTTATTTTAAAAATACAAGTAAATTGTTTTTAATTTAAACCATAATATATATATTAATTTTTTCTAAGGGTAAAACTTTATTTTAAGTTTTTTTAAACTATGAAATTAAATAAATAACATTTTCTAGCAGATTATCTGTTGTCATGAAAGATAAGGGGATTTGGAGTAACTTGTATTTAAAATTCTGTAACTTTGGATTGGGTAAATTTATACTTAAAATAAAGCATTCCCTTTATAATTCAGATCCATTCTCAACATATGGGTATTAATGAAAAATATGTATATAGTTTATGTAAATATTGTTACTTTAGAAGTATTTCCTAGATTTTAAAGTACTAATGTGCAGTATATTAATTGTAATGATAGTTTGAAATTTTGATGTTCATTTAAAACTTAACTGTGATGGTGCCTTTATTAATGTTTTTATGTCTCATTTCTTTACAGCAAGGAGTGAATAATGCTGAAAAATTTGACTATGTAAGTGCAATTTAGAATTCAGTTTTCACACTAAATTATGTCTTTGTTATTTGATACTGATACTTTTTTATTTTGTTTTATAGGTGATGCAGTTTTTGAATAAGATGGCTGGTAATGAATATGTTGGATTCAGTAATGCAACGTGAGTCTGCTTTATGACTTAGATTTTTATAATGGGTCATTTCTCTTTTAAAAATCTATATTGTAGAATTTTATTTTAAACATTGCTTTGTTACTCCATTTATATGCATATATTGTATTTAGAATTAACTTATTCTCCCTTGTTAGTTCTAGGTCTTACTTCAGTGCATAAATTCTTACCTAATATTTGGTCATTAGAAGAAAATGATTTCTAAATTACCTGGGGTGGGAGGTGGGCACACTTAAAATGCTTTATGTATTTTTGATAAACTTCTTGTGGGTAATCATAGAATTAGAGGGGGCCCCCAGGTTTACTTCAAGTTATTAGCACTAATTTTATGTCCATCTATAATACCTGTCTTGCCTCTCATCTTAATCTCTCTATGCCTGGGTAACTTGATTTTTACACCAATTTTTTACTTTGAAATTTTGAAGTCTACAGGAAAGTTACAAGAATAAACAAGTATCTGGATATCTTTCACTTATTTTCCTGATTAATATTTTGTCTCATTTGCCTTTTATCCACCTGTCTAGATAGACAGTTAAAAGTATATGTATCTCTACATGCACATATATACATGTATGTGTGGTTTTTTTTTTCTGAACTGTTTGAAATTAAGTTGTAGAAATCATGGCACTTCACTCTTAAATAACTCAGCACAGGTATCCTAAGAATAAGGGCATGCTCCTACATAACTATTAGTATAATACCAGCAATGCTTTTTTTTTTTTTTGAGGGAAATTTGTCTTTATTTGAACATTATGTGATTATCTACAGAGATAACACAGAAGTCTATAGTCATTTGAAAAAATAGGACTTTAAGAAGGTAGCTGGATATAAAATTGACATAAAAAGTTAATATTTAAAAATATATACTAGAAAAAATCCATAAGTTACTTTGGAACAAATTATTTGTAAAACCATACACAGAAGTCGTGCTCACACAAAAACCTTGAAGAAAGACAAAATACATGAATGGATATCTGATGTTCATAAATAGGGAAACTTAATCGCATGAAAGTATAAATCCTTTCCAAATAGATCTCTAGGTTTAATGTAATTCCCTTCAGAATTACAACAGGGTTTTCATGAACTTGACCTGAATTCTAACATACATAGAGAAAAATCAAAGGACTGAGAAGATCTGTGAATATTCTAAAGGCAAATAAGGCAGAGGAAGATTTGCCTGCAGGTGTCCAGCCTTATCATGATCTGTAGTAATTAATTAAGACTGTGTGATGATGGCAGGAGACTTGACTTGGGTGGTGAACACAGTTCAATATACAGGTGATGTTTTACAGAATTTTGTACCTCTGAAACCTATAATTTTATTAACCAATGTTAATCTCTGTGGAATAGCTTAAAGAACCCAGAAATCAAACCACAGTTGAATGACTAGTTGATGAGTGACAGAGGTGAGATGATACATCATTAGTTGGAGGAGGGACTATTCAATAAATAGAACTAGAAAAGCTGGTCATCCGTTTTACTTTCTTCTCTATGGGAAATGGAAGACCAGCTTTTCCAGTTCCAGCAACACTCTTAAGAACATTAATTTAAAAATATGATGTTAATCAATACATAAATATCCCCAAATTACCTCTAAATATGTATTATGGCCTTTTTTTCCTCTAGGGACTAATCAAGGTTTCTTTTGTCTTTCAAAGTACAACAGTCCCCCTGCCTCAGTCTCTTGCTTTTAAGAATATTTATTAAATGACTTCTTGTGAAGTATGCCAACTAGTTGTTTTCTAGAGCAGGAATTAATTAACTTTTTCTGTAAAGGACCGGAGAGTAAATATTTTGGTCTTGTATTCTCTATTACAACTACTTAGTTCTGTTTTAGTAGGAAAGTAGCCATAGACAATATGAGGCTGTGTTCCAAAAACCTTATTTATAAAACCAGGCAGCAGGTTGGATCTGGCCCAGGAGCTGTAATGGATATTCCTATTTTTAATAGGTTTAGTTGTTTCCTTTTGATTAGATAAAGCTTAAACACTTTTGGAATGAATACTAATTAGATGATGCTTTGTATGTTTCAGACAGCAAAAATTTTTAGGTTTCTACCTTATCGACTTTTATTCGTCAGCCTAAGTATCTTTCCCAGAAAGGTTTTCAATAATCTCATCTTGCCCCTCTTCTGTGCTCTCATCTTACCATATTTTATTGAACTTACTCTATATCTGTCTTTGCCCCATCATCACCATCAGACTCTGACCTTCTTAAGGCCTAGATAGAGTATCTTCCAATTCATTTCTGTAATCCTGTTACTTGGCAGATATTAGGCAGTTGATAGAGTGTTTAGTAAACAGAACTATGTGTTAGGGACTGATAATTGTTCAATGGTTAGTCCTTTATTTATACAGTTCCTTTTTTCAGTAGCCTTCTAGACACTTGTAGGTTGAGCTCTCAAATAATATTCAAATTTATGGAATTAAATCTAAGTCAAAACTCACTCTCTTTCTTCCAAAACTGTTCTTTGTTCTAGGGATCTTCTTGTCAGTTGATAACACCATTCTTTCTGTAGACTTTGTTAGATACCTAGGCTTTGTAACAGAGTTCACACTGTTTTCTCTTTTTTCCCCTCTTGTCTGAAGACTTGCCCAGCTGTTCTCATGTTTGATAATACTTCTTCCATTTCTATCACTAGTACCTAAGTTCAGGCTTTCTGTAATTCTTATTACAGTAGTCACCTAATAACATCATTCTTCCTATCTTTTCCCCCTTTCCCAAGCTAATGTCAGAGCTAACCTTCTAAAATGTAGAGCTGAAAAGGTAATTTGTTTGAAAGCCTTTAAGCTTTCATTTTATTGGTAATTTGGAGCTATTACGTTTTTTAGCATTTATCCGTCTTGATAATTTGGTTGTAGTCTCCTTTGTTAGTTTGATGATTCTCCACTCTTCTCCATGAATCCCATTTCCCAGGTATGTTAGAGTACTTGCTAATCTTGAGTGAAATCCTGTATTTTATACTTTTATAACTTTATTCATGATGCTGTGTAAGCTTCCACCTGAAATCTGTTAATCCAATGAATGCTGTAAGGCCCATTTCATGTATCCCTTTCTCAGTGAAATTTCCATGGAATCTTTAGTTGGAATTGACTGTTTATTGTACTTTTGAGGTAGCCAGAAGATTCTGCATTTTTTAGTATATTTTAATGGTGGAATATTTGGTGATTTATTATTATTTTCTTTATTTACAAAATATGAAGATTAGTAAAGGTCCTGGTTCATTTTAACCCTTTTATTGCTGAGAAAATTAAGATGGAAAGAATTATCACCTAAATTACTTGCCCAAGGCCACATAGCCAGCAGGCCTACTGACAGAACTGGGACTGGAACGAACAATCTTTTTGACTATTAACTCAGTGTTCCTTATACTGCACTTTAATATACAAATTAAACTGTAGAACCATACTTTTATAGAAAATAAAGCAAATTTTCTTTTCTTCTAGGTTTCAGTCTGAAAGAGAAAGTGGAGATCGAAATTTTGCAATAGGATATTACTTAAAAGAAAAAAAGGTTTTTAAATGTTGTTTCTTTTTCTTTACTTAAAAAAAAATACATGGACATATATACTAAGAACTCAACAATGGATTTTAAGCAACTACCTATTACTATTTAAGGTTCACAAGTTTTTGCTAAACAACCTTGAGTTAATGCTATCAAATGTTAATATTAAACTGATTTGTATCTGGCAGTATTCAAATATTTGGCTAGTTATATTAATACAGATTTTGCAGAAGGACCCACCTATTTACTCAAAAGTGTAATGCCTGACTGTTGATTATATTTGATTGTTTTGAAAGTTTAAGTGGCTGGTCCAGTAACTTGGTTTATAAATTTGAATCAGTTTATTTTTATCAATTAAACTAGTGTCTAGAAATCTATATATGATGTAGTTTTGCTTTATTGTTCTTTATTATTTCATGCTTATACCCTTTTATAGGTTATGTGCTATTTTGCTCTTGATTAAAATAAAACACATTTATGTGCATTTTAAATTTAATCTTGTATCTTTTACTTGTGTGTATATATTTTTTCCTGTGTTTCTGTTTATAATTGCCTTTCTATTTTTTCAGTGTTTTCCAGAAGGCACAGACATGGTTGGTATATTAGACTTCTATTTCCAGGTAATTTACTTTAAATGTATGAAATATGTGTATAAATAAATATGTGTATCTTATTTTGCAGAATATAGGTATCTCAGAAATCTTAGCCCTAGGCAAAGAGAATATGCATTACCCATTGACTTCCAAAAAAACATACTTATGAAAGAAAATCTCGTGTCTGTATCTCCTAAAAAGTTATGACTCAATATAATAGGGAGAATTTTTATTTCTGTAAACATATTATATGTAAAAAGTGTCAAAAATAATGTACAGTTCCAGAAATTGGCTTCTTCTTACTGTAAAATGAACTCTCTTTTCGTAGCTTTTACATTTTGTTTGGAGGAGTTATTTATCAGAGGGTTCATAGTATTTTAAAGCTGCAGTTTCTCAGTTTATTTCTGCAGCATCACATAGTGGTTCTCTTTGAAGTTAAAGTTGCAAGCTATACTCTCTACATATTTCTGGAGGAGGGGACCACTTATAATCTGCTGTGGTATAGAATTCAGTTTAAGATAGTCTTCCTGAACTTCCCTCCCCTCTTACCCCATACTTTTCAGTTCAGTTCATTTTTACAGCTTGAGTGTCATTAGTGCCTCTGATGGGTCTGTAATGTGAAGCTACATAGTAACAAATTGTTAATTTCTAGTTTAGTTTATATTTGCCTATCTTTATTTTTGAAGGTGTTTTAATTTCACCCTTTTTGTAATCTTAAAGAATACGTAACAGCGGTTGTTATGAAGTAGATTTGATAGAAGTCCAGGTCTCAGTTTGTCACCTGTCCAATGTGAAGAGCTATAAATTGTGAATCTGGATTATCAATGTAAAAACCTAACCTGGCCACTTTTGAGCTATCTGACCTAATTTCAGTTACTGAGCTCCAGTTTCATTTTCTGTGGCATATTCTTGACCTAACTTCCTGCACTGAAAAGAACATAAAATAATTTGTGTGAAATTTCTTTGAAACGGTATAGTGTCATATTTACTTCTATCCAGTAGTCCTTATTATTTCCCCTAACCCATATGAATTTCTTCAATATGTTAAAGTTCTTTTGCTTTGATATACATACATATTTAACTTGGGCTATTACAGCTTACTTGTTACTAAATCTGCGAAATTTCTACACTTCAGTGCATAAATCAAGAAACAGCCATAGAAGCTTTACTTTTTTGTAGAGGGTTTGCATCTAATTGAATGTTCATCAAAGTTTCAGGAAAGTACTCAAACTGGGATTTGTCAAACTAGGAGTGTATTGCCTTATGACAAACAAAATCCCAATTAACTAAGTATAAATTAAGAAATGATTGTTGGAATTTAAATCTCATTTCTTTTACAAAGCTTTTTATGATTAAATCAACTTTAAGTCTTTGTTGTATGGGTCAGTATAGTAAGTAGATTCTGTAGTTTTGGGGAAATTGGAAAGAGGTTTTAAAATAAATAGACAAAAGTGAAAGTCAGTAAAAATGTGGCATCCAATCATTTTTCTAGTTCACTGTGGCTGATTAGTTTTTCTCCTTGCTGACTTCAAACCCCTTTGTGCCTCTTGTATGTAGACCTTGAATTGTGAATGAGGAAAGTTTGTAAGTTGAGACCTCAGTCTTTTCTCTCTCTTCCCCATTCCCACATTCTCTTTCTCCTCTACTTTTCCCCCATTTTGGTTGCTGTTAATGAATAATAAAATAGACCATAATTATTATTTTAGTTTTATGGGAAAATTTGGGTTTGGAGTAGTAAACTATTTCCATCATTTTGATTATATTTAAATATAAAAATTTCATTCTACATTGTAATTGAACTTTGCTTTTTTTCATTCATTATAGTATATCAAGCACCCATAGTCTATATCAAATAAATATTTGAATGTTAATAGATGGTTTAAAAGGGAACATTTTGCTTTAGGCCCACAGAATATCCGAGCTTGAGCTGTCTTCGATTTTCTTTCACCTAGTTCTTTGCCAATATGGGGACGCTGAGCTTTGTTATAGGTGAAATGTCAGGCAATTAAATTTTTTTTTTTTGAAGTGGCAATTTCTCACATTGATCCTATTTATTGTACTGATGTTAATGTTGCCTTATCTAAAAAATATATGATGGTTCCTTTTTCCTTGTTGAATTAATAATTACATTTGTGTATCTTACAGAAAGCATTAAATATTAAGCAACTTTGAATATCACATGGGACATTTACAAATATTAGTGCTTAGGGCCTGGCTTTTCCTATCCTAGTTCTGCCATTAAAAGACTGAATAACTGGGCAAATCAGGATAAACCTTAAAGGGGCTAGAACTTTGTTCAAATAAAAAATCTTGATTATCTTAAAATTTAGTGATACTAAAAATAATGTGAGGCTAAATTTTCAGAATTGGTTTTTGCTTCCTTTTAGCTATGTTCCATTGAAGTAACTTGTGAATCAGCTAGTGTGATGGCTGCAACACTGGCGAATGGTGGTTTCTGCCCTATTACTGGTGAAAGAGTACTCAGCCCTGAAGCAGTTCGAAATACATTGAGTTTGATGCATTCCTGTGGCATGTATGATTTCTCAGGGCAGTTTGCTTTCCATGTAAGTTATTGTTTAATCTTAATTTTCTCTGGCAAGAAACTAGTCTGGACTAGTTTTTATTTTTTTTAATGTGGTTTGAACTTTGCTTTTACAATTGTACACTAATTTTTGAGAGAGAGGCTTGTTTTCAAGATTAATTTGTTACCAGCAGATGTTCTTAACAACTTGAAGTTTTGTTTATAGAACCTCATCACTTTTAAGGCATTCCAGTGCACAAGGTTAGTATAGACTTTACTTTTACTCATTAATGCTTAGTATTATGCAGTGTACCTCAAGAATTCCTTAAGCTTAGAAAGAGTGCATAATTGTAATGTTTAACATTTATGGTTAAAGCCATAGGTCAGATGTCAAACTGATTTTCACCTGGGGCCACATCACCCTTCTGGTTACTTTCAAAGGACCAAAGTAATTTTAGGACTATATAAATGTAACTACTCCTTAAGTGTTAAGGAGTTGCAGTTACATTCGGCCATTTGAGGGCAACCCCAAGGCTGTTGTGGCCCCTGGTGAAAATGCGTGTGACACCCCTGCCATAGATGTTTTAAAGGACTTAAAGTATATTAAAGTTAAAAATATATTGCTTTAAGTTCTGTTGTGCATTTGCCACTTGTAAAATGTATAGACTTATTTTATTCTGCTTATGTCAATAAGCAAATGCCCTAATATTTTTATTTTGAAAATTTTAAAACAGAAAACAGATTTAATGTTATGTATCATTCAACTTTAATAATTATCAGTACATAACTAGTTTTGTTTCACCTGTATATACACCTACTTCCCCCACCCCTGCCATAGTTAAGTATATAATTCTAAGTGATAAGGGCTCTTGAACCCATAGTACCATTCTTACATTTAAAAAAAATTTAACTTTAATATCATCATACTATTTAGCTAATGTTCAGATCATCTGGATTGTCTTATAAATTATTATTTTACACTTTGACTTGGGCTGCAAATAGTGCCTTACATTATGATTGGTTGTATCTTCCCTTATTTTTCTTCTTTAATCTATGGTCTTTCCCCCTTGACCTCTTTTTCTTACTTTTAATTGAAAAAAACTGGGCTGTTTATTGTATATAGTTTCTCATAGTCTAGATTTTGCTTATACATTCCACTGTCCCTTGTATTCCCTATAGATTGGTAGGTCCCATTCAGGTGAGTTTTTTTTGTTTTGCTTAGTTTTGTGCGTGGTCACTTCTAGCAAGAGAAACTCAATGTCTGAATGTTAATTAAGCCACTAAAAAACATTCCCATAATAATAATTTTGTATTTTATCATAATTATTGTCAAATTTTGTATAATATAAAGGTAAATGTTTTGAAGAGATTTAATTTGAGTTACTATCTTATCTCTGTTCCTCAGAATTTCTCTGTGACATATATCTCAGAATCTTTTAAGAAGATAAAATTTCTCATTGTATTTTAGCCATAAAATATTGTTGAAAATAATGTTTCTACTTAAAAGCAATGTATGTGTATTATAAAACAATTAGAAAATATAGTGAAAAAGAATAAAATAAGAACATAGTCTCATGAATTAGATGCAGTCTACTTAATTCCTTAAAATATGTCTTTCAGAGTTTTTCTGTATTTAAATATATCCCAACTGGTTTTTTTTGGTTTTGTTTTGTTTTTCCTTTTGGGTTTTTTTTTTTAGATTTTATTTATTTATTTTTAGAGAGGGAAGGGAGGGAGGGAGAGAGAGAAACATCAATGTGCGGTTGCTGGGGGCCGTGGCCTGCATCCCAGCTATGTCCCCTGACTGGGAATCGAACCTGCGACACTTTGGTTCGCAGCCCGAGTTCAATCCACTGAGCTGTGCCAGCTGGGTCCAACTGTTTTATAACTGTTTTTCATTTACTGTATTATGAACATGTTGGTAAATACTTACCTATGACATTTTTAAAGTTGGAATTCTGTATAGGTGTATACCATAATTTTTTAACCTGTTACTTTATTGTTGGTCATAACTTTTCTCATTTTAAAATGTTAACATAAATGTCCTTTCTTTTTTTTTCCTTCAAATTATTTTCAGGTTGGTCTTCCTGCAAAATCTGGAGTTGCTGGGGGCATTCTTTTAGTTGTCCCGAATGTCATGGGCATGATGTGCTGGTCCCCACCTCTGGACAAGATGGGCAACAGTGTTAAGGGAATTCATTTTTGTCATGTAAGCATGTTTTCTTAATGAAAATAATGATCATATAAATTGAGCCATCCAATGATTCTATTTTTATTTATTTATTTATATATTTTACTCATTTTCATAGTTGGTTAATTGTTGGCACTCTTGCCTGCCAGTTACTGGGAGCCATGGAAGTGCTCATAGAGGACTTCAAAGTACCTCTACCAAGACAACTCTCATATAATCATTCTCACAGAAAGTTACATTTGTTCAAAGCTTATATTTAAATATTTATGATTATAATTACTTGTCAGTTTCTAAAAGTTCAGCAAAAGATACTGACTTGGAGATGTAACTTGAAATACAACATAAATTATAGATTATTATAGTTTACTGTATCATCTTTAAACTTGCATGGTGGAATATCTTTCTCTGTAAGCTACCTTTAAAACTCCGGGGTTGTGTGTTTTTTTTGTTTTTGTTTTTGTTTTTGAGGGGGTGGGGGTGTATGTGTATTTTGTTTGTTTGTTTTGTTTATTTGGAAATAAGCACTGCAATATTTTCTTATTTTTTATTTTTAAAGATTTTATTATTTTTAGGGATGGGGAGAGAAACATCAATGTGTGGTTGCCTCTTGTGCATTCACAATTGGGACTTGGCCTGCAACCCAGGCATGTGCCCTGACTGGGAATTGAACCAGCGACCCTTGGTTTCACAGACCCATGCTCAATCCACTGAGCTGCACCAGCCAGGGCAGCACTGTAGTTTAAAATTGTTATTATACAAGCCCTGGCTGGCGTAGCTCAGTGGACTGAGCGCAGGCTGCGAACCAAAGTGTCACAGATTCGATTCCCAATCAGGTTACATGCCTGGGTTGCAGGCCACGACCCCTAGCAACCGCACATTGATGTTTCTCTCTCTCTCTTCTCTCTTCTCTCTTCTCTCTTCTCTCTCTCTCTCTCTCCTCTCTCTCTCTATCTCCTTCCCTTCCCTCTCTAAAAATAAATAAATAAAATCTGTTTAAAAAATTATTATTATACTTGACTAGTTCAGTATTTTATGTTGTGACCCAGCTCTTGCTAATATTTGTTTCTGGTTTATTTACATTTATTACTTAACAGGATCTTCTGCAGAGTTTCTTAATTAAAATTCTGATTTATTTTTCAGTTATATTCTGTAACACCTAAAGAATAAGATTAGATTGCTTATAGATTATAATAGACTATAACTACAATGTTTATATATATATATATTTCTGTGGTATTTTATAGTTGTTTGGAAAAATTCTTTCATATGACCTGTTATTATAATGCCCATTTTATTGGAAATGAAAGTTATGCAATTTGACTTGCCGAGTCCTATGATCATGCTCGTAAGCAGTGATCTTATAATTTGCATTCATATCTTACTCTGATTTCATTCTTCTTCTAGATGTACCATGCTGCTATATTAACATGCGGTAGTGCTTTGCATGAAATAATAGTTTAAGTTGGGTAGTATTAGTATAATTTGTTAAATTATGAAAAAGCAATAGACAATGAATAGCTAACTTCTTATACCTGTTATGTTTATTTACAGGATCTAGTTTCTCTGTGTAATTTCCATAACTATGATAATTTGAGACACTTTGCAAAAAAACTTGATCCTCGAAGAGAAGGTGGTGATCAAAGGGTAAGCAAAATTCTTAGATTATTATGAAATATTTTTTAAGAGAGAGAAAACGAGATTCACCTGTTTAAATAAAATTTAGTTTAATTGGTAGTGGCTTCATATCCTTGCCAGTAACAAGTGAGTGTAAACAAGTGGTTGACATTTTCATCCTGGACCAGTAATTTATAGATACTAAATATTGATGTTTTATTTAAATTGAAACTTGTTAGTCTAGCAGCAGGGTTTCCCCTCCTCCCATTTTTTTGCTATTTTAAGCAATATTTTAAAGAATTGATTTTATTAAGACACATTAGAAAGTGCCACATGGTATAAAAAGAAAGCCTGTTTTTAATCTTAATATCTGTCAGTTATAGGCTTGAAGATTATTTTGACATGGATGGATATGTAAATAGGAAAGGGATTATAGTGCTAGGAGAGACCTTACAAAGCCTCATGATAAATTTTATAAACCACTGTTGATGAAATATTTTTCTATAAAGTGTTGAATGAAGTATTCCTGATGCTCTTAACATAGTATTTTTCTTATCAGTGTGCTTGGCTTCATATTGTTACACATATATACTATTTTTTTAAAGCTAGCATCAAGAGTCAGGACTTAAATTTCAGGAACAAGATTTTTTTTTTGTCTTTATTATTCACTGGATCAAGGGACTTGTTTTAAGATTTAATTAAATTCCTTTACATCCCATATGGAAAATGTGTATAATAAAGTTACCTAATTAGACCTGAAGCTCATATAAAGCACTTACAGGTAGAAAGAAAATATCTTAGTACAAAAAAAGTGAAATTAAACTAAGTAAATTTTTGTCATTAGCTCCAATCAAAGTAACTTCTAATAGTATATGAGAATTATGCAAAGCCAACAAAGTAGAAAATTATATGGGAGTCAACAGGAGTAACATGGAGCAAAACATCAAATGGTGGTGGGTGAAAATGTTAACCAATTCTAATAACATTCATTGAAAAATATGGTTTTGTAGCTTGGACCTTTCTTCACTCAAGTGCACTAATAAATTATGTATGTTGCTTGAACAACTAGCATTCCTTTGGACCATTGGACTATGAAAGTCTCCAACAAGAACTTGCTTTAAAAGAGACAGTGTGGAAAAAAGTGTCACCTGAGTCAAATGAGGACATCTCTACAACTGTAGTATATAGGATGGAAAGTCTGGGAGAGAAAAGCTAAAGAAATGGGGTTTAGTTTCACAATGTTCTCCATTTAACCTTTCAATAATCTTTAGCTTTTTTGCGTACTACAAATATTTATTTGAGGTTTTTGTGTTCTCAACTTTGAGTGCTGGAGCCAGAAAGCTGTCTTTTTTTTTTTTATCTTTGTGTAAAACCAATAGATTAAAAGTGGATTTGTCAATTTTTAAAAAGTATTTATAAATAAATAAAGCAAATTTGCTTTATTTTAAAAAATGCAAAAGAAAAAATTTTAAAAATTTAAAAAATTTTTTCTTGGTGTAGTTAAAAATTTAACTCTAGAGTTAAAATAGTAACAGAAATTTAAAATAGTAACAAAAATTTAAAATAGAACAGAAATGTGTAATTTCTTGGTTCTAAAACCCACACATTGAATTTGTAAGTTTCATTACATTTTGTTTTTTCTCTTCCTATTTTAAAACTGATAAGATGTCTGTAGTGGCAATAGAAAGTATTTTTATGCTAAATAACAAAACTTTTAAAAAGGTAAAATAATGAATCCTAAATTATTTAATATAACAGTAGATTATAAAATTAGCTCAAGTTTACATTTTATGCCATTTTTATTAAGTCATGTCTTATCCCACTTTGTAAGTCATGTCTTTGCTTTTTTACTTTGCAACTCCTATGTTCTGTCAGAATTGTCATGTACAGGAATGTCTTATGTTACTAAAACATTCCAGCCAAAGAATTACAGATACAAGGTAATGACATGTTTCACTGTTAAAAAGCTTTGGTTACTCAGGAGCAGTATTGAGTATCTTCAAGTGAAATGTTTACCTGAGCAATTTTATCTTCATATTATTCACTTAACTTTTCCTGTTATATTTAAATATAAATGGTGAATCTTGGTTTTTAGCTTTTAATGATTTTATTCTAATAATTTCAAAAATGTTAATGAATCTTTCATGATAAAATATAGTAACATCTCATAAACTGTTCTGTTTGAACTCTTATAAATTACTTAGAAAATGAATTAAGTCTGAAGGTAGTAATAATTCTACTAAAGTATCTATTAGGTCTGAATCCTTTCATTTGGTTATAAAAATAGAATATTGAGAATCAAAACTTATTTGTAAAAGGACTGTAGGTTCTATACAACCTGATTTCAAATAATTCACAATATTTGAAGTCTGTTTGGCAAAGAGATTATAAAATTCTACAGGACCTATTCACACTTCTTCCGTACTCCATATACCTCTCGACTTCTCACAGTTTCCCAAAGCTTGAAGGTGTTTTTTGTTTTATTTTTTTGTTAATTCACTTTTAAACTTGTAGATTTTGGAGGGGCAGGGTGAGGTCTAGAATGAGAAATTGATAGTTTCTTAGTATCACAGCATATATGTGCTAAGGCAAAGTCTGTAAACGTAAATACAATATAGCAAAAAAAGATTTCATTGGATCATTTAGATACTAGTGCAAATATAGATATAGAAAATCTTGATCATATGATATCTTGAGTTTGGGAACTAGGATATTAGGAAAAAATTTCCTCTCAAAGGTGTTGTTCAAAAGCCTTTGGAGCTAACATAAGTATTAAAACTTAGAATAGTTAAATAATTGTATGTTAAGTTTTAGAGGATTTTACCAAGGATTTTATGATTGTTTGAATGGTCCTCTAATGTACAGATGCATATCCTAACTGGATGCTTTGGTTGTGCTGTTTATACCTCATCTCTGCTATACCTTTGGACACTAAGTTTCACCAGGGCCATTTGTGGTTTGGGGAACTGAATGCCTTCACTGATAGCTTGCCAAAAAGGCTTTAGTCACTGTCCCTCCCCCACCTCCTTCCCCATATGCTATAAATTGTTACATTTTACTATTTTATTTGTAAATTAGTTTTACTTTATAAAATAAAAATTTAATGTTTAATACTGTATCCACAGATTTCATAACTGTTGTTAATTTGTGGCACTTTTATTATGTTGGTAAAGCTTAAATGTACACTCACCAGTAAAGGAGGGTTATCTAAGTTATTATGTTTATAAAATCTTATTAAGGACGAGCATCCCAAAATTTTGTAGGACAGTATAAATGGAAGATGACGGAAGATAATTGTGAATAGGTCCTTAAACTTTACAGTAAAAAAGAAAGAAAAGTCTTTGCCAGATCAACGACATTATTTTAATTCCTTCAGTGTTTTTTAACACATTTTCAAATACAGTTCTTGAAAAGTACCCAGTTATTGTAGGATTTAATGTTTCATGCCATTACTGATTCTTGATATTCAAGCATTTAGAAGTTAGCATATTTGTTTTTCTTTTTATTCATCATTAACATTTCATTTGAAATGCATATCCTTCTTGAAATACTTTATTTTTAGCATAAATGTTGTGCATTTTAATCTTCGTGTTTGGATTAAAACATTTGTGTTATTTAGCTTTCTTTCATTTGCTTTGTATATTTAATAATGTATCTTTTATTTTCTAGTATGCATATTTTTTGTATTGTACAATAAATTTATTTTAAGCTGATTTTATTGTTTTTTTTTTATAAAAGCATCTACAGCATTCCTAAGTACAACAAACAGTTGGAATTTTAACTTTTAAAAAGTTATCCTTTATGAAGATACTGTTAAAGTGCTTTATGTTTTTAATTACTTCTGAGGCTGTGGTGAAGAGAAAACTAGAAATACTCAAAAGGGCTTCATCCTTTGATTTTTTTTTTTTTTTAATGCAGTGTACCGTTGGTGGGATTTGGTTGGGGTGGGTGAGTGAGAGTTTTCCTATTGGTTGTAGTAAGAGTATTTGAATAAAGACTTTCTTACTAATTTTTTTTTCTATTTGACAACCTAAAACACAAAACACTATTTGCAGGTTCTTTCTGCTTTCTGAGGAAGAGTATCATTGATGTTATGGACTATGTAATCTGTTACCTAGAGTAGGAAAAACATATTGCTAAATCAAATGAAGAGTATCATAATCTCAGTAGAATTTATATTGAGTGGGGTAATTATAATACAGAAATTTACCTTAGTTATTTTTAAGGGATTTAAATTTTGGAAGAAACTAAAATTAATTTAAATTAAATTTTGGTATATTTCCACAGCATGGTCCAAATTATACCTAGTCTTCATGAACTGTAGATCAAATATAGTACTTAAAATTTTTTTGTTTGATGAAATCTGCCAATCATATCCAGAAAAGACATCCCAAATATACTGTAGATGTTTTAAAACTGTTTGAAAGGGAAATACTGTTGTTTGCAGGAATTGTATTTATCTGTAGGATTTTTTTTTCATAAAGTTCTTTTGGGGCTAGTAAATAAAGACTGTGTCATGGTATATTCAGTGTGTAATAGTTTATGATGATTTGCTTTAAAAGATACATTGGGTTTTGTCGTATGGTGGCGGTGGTGGTATTTTTTAACCATTTAATGCAAAGGGAGAGGTGACCCAAAGAGCTGAATTATCTTGGACTCACTGTAGAGTCTCATAATCATGTATATGTGGGGAAAGAACCACTCATATGTACTGATATGTCAGTCTGTATCATGAAAATCCATATAATGTACATGTTATATGTCCATATGTTTATGTGTATATCTATATATGGGTGTCTGTTTTTCCATCCATCCACCCATCCTTCCATATTCTGAAAATCAGCAGTTCTTTCCATACAGTATGAATAAGTGATTCATCAATCTATTTCTATTCTACATTTTGTAGTAAAAGAACTTCTAACATTTTTGCTGCCCCAGAATTTATAAAACATTTATTTGTTTAATTTAACTTTAATGATACATGGTTTCTGTTGTTGCTCCTGTTCACTACTAGCACTATCAGGGTAAGA